AAATAAAGGTCATGTTTCACAACATAGATGACTTCAACAATTTTGAAAATGTCTGTCGCAAGGAGAACATTCAGCTCTACACGTTCACGATCGCCTTCGAAAAGATTCTTACTGTAGTGCTGAAAGGTCTTATCAAGCTTAATGAAAAAACAATTTTAAATAATCTTAAAAGGACTGAAGCCAATCAACTGCATCGAAATACCCACGCACACCAGATATTCAGTATACAGAGTCACTTTCGTCCCAGGTCTAACCCTTGCAAAAGTCAACCAGGTCCGGTTTGTTGAAAACATCAAAGTCTATTGGCAAAAATACGAATCCCGAAAGCCTTCTATACAATGTTATCGTTGTCAGGCACATGGTCACTCCTCCACAAACTGTAATAAAACGCAGTGTACGTAAAATGCGTAGGATCATACAACACAAAAAAATGCACGAAATCACCTGAAGCCCTACCAACCTGCTTAAACTGTCGAGGAAATCATACGGCTAATTACTCCAAATGCCTTTTATCTCAGCCCTTCTATCTTACTTAGCAAAGAAAACCACTTTCAAGACCCAACAGCATTTAAATCCCCACCTCCCACTCCCTGCTCACACTTTTTCCGTACTAAAATAATTAAACCAACCATAAACACTCACGGTTCCTCAAAAACTACTCTCAGGGCATCCGCACCAATACACCTACCTACGCCAACGCCCTAACAGAACTATCCCTACAACCAGAACCACCGGTCACACACCCAAATCCCAGAAACACAATTGGAAACGCGATTGACGGATTCAAAGACACCGGCCTGGACATGACACTTTCTTAAGAATCCTGGAACTCATTCAAATACATTGTAAATCTAACAAATGCACACCTAACATTGAAAGAGTCAAAGCCGTAATAACAATTAAAGAACTCGAAGCTGGACGATAATAATATCCTTAAGATAATGTTATGGTATGCTACCAGCATACAAAGCAAAAAATCAGAGCTCCAAAAATTTCTTCTTGACCAAGAGGTAGACATAGCTATCATTGAAATGATAACTATGATAACTTGATTCAACTGAAACCTGGCATTCCTCCAGAAATTCCTTCAACCTTCAACACTATCACATCCGCAGAAAAGACCGAACGGTCAATTCAGGCGACCCGTGGGGGAGTCATGACAGTCGTGAACAATAGAATCTCTTCGGAAGATTATGTGCAACCCACATCCTTGCCCTCATCTTTACGGTTGCTTACGTACCTCCAAAACACAAAATCACTCCGCAGAACTGGACCAGTTGACATCAATTCAACCACAACACGTACATTACAGGCGGTGACTTTAACGTAAAGCACCAAATCTGGAACACCAGTAGAAATACAAACGGTGTTACCCTTAAAAACCACGCAAAATTCGGGCAGTATCAAATCCTACACTTTCCCATGTACACATATAGACAGCCAAAATGCAACCTCTCAAACCTGGACATATTTTTAACTAACATACCATACGAACACACCATAAGAATAAGGAAGGAAAGATGTGAAGGATTGAAAAAATTAATACCAACGCCAAGAAAAATAAAAGACACGGTGCGGCAGTGGTAGCCGATACGAGTAAATAAAACCAAGGGACGGAAATAAACAGACCAGAAGCCGCAAGGCACATGGAAAAAGACACCGGAGAATATTTCGGTCCCGCAGCCTCGAATAAGTACACGATGCAGGCCACCGTGAAGGAATCCGACACTACCCAGCTCCGCAAAATGGGCTGGGTGTCTTATGCTAGATTTCCTCCACGTATAAAAAAAAAAAACCATAAGAATAATTGACGACCTCTCGTCAAATCACCTCCCAGTAATTCTAACAATTTACACAAATCAAATAATAAAATTACACTGACTGGAAACCTCTACCGGAAAATCTGCAACTCCTTCCCCATCAGCCAAAGCAACTCAAATCAGAACGAAACATTGACACATAAATAGACAACATACGACTTGCATACCGTAAAGCCACCAGACCCCACAGAGAAACCGTCAGACCTCCCAACTCGGACCCTTATCTACAATAGCTGATCAGGGATAGAAACAAACGTAAATATTAGAAGACCGGATATCCTTTTTACAAATTGCACCGCAACTTATTAACCAATATCATACAAAGAAGAATAACTGAAACAAGAAACAACTCATGGCAAAGACATACAAATCGACACACCCTCTGGCTGACCTACAATAACTAACAGGACTCAAAAACCCCTGCATGCCCCCGCTACACAAACCGAGAATAAACTCCATACATTTCACAGACCTGCGCTGATGGACAAAATGATAAAGCACCGCCGTACACATCCAAAATTTCATGTATATTTGCTAAGATCTTAAAGCTAGAAATGTATTACACGCAAAGCTATGTTATACACAAGTGACTTCACGTCAAGGTTAAGCAAGCAAAACTCTAGACACTGTTGTCTTTGAAGTTCCTTGTGAAATTTCCTTTTGTTAAAGCACCTAAACTAGTCTGTTGAAGAACGTTTAAGTATGCAAGTCTGTGCGAGTCTATTTTATGAAAGTTATTTGTTAATAGTTAGTTTATAAGTGTTAAGTACTTTTTAACTGAAAATTGAACTATGGGACGAGGAAGAACATTAAGTGAAGATGAGAAAATTAAAATACTTCAGTTAAAATTCAATGGAGAGAATCAAATACAAATTGCAAAGAGGACTTTGGTTTGAGAGTGGACAGGTCACGTTTGTGGAGTGAGAAAAAATATAGAATTAGCGATAGAAAATCCGATCCGAAAATAAAAAAGAAAGTGTGGAAAGGCAGAAGTAGGGAGCAAAAGGATAACTAAAAGGTGCAGACAAAAGGAAAACAGACCGAAAAGACAAGAAAGAGTAAAAAGAGCAAAGAAAAAAAAAAGGAAGTTAGAATGGCAATAAGAGCAAGCCAAAACAAAGGAACGATGGAGAAATTTATAGTCGGTAAGGAAGGAAGCAAGGCAGAGACGTTTGGTGAAAGTATGAATGAAGGGGACAGGGTAAGGAAAGAAATGATTAATGGCAAGGAGAAAACATGGGAGGATACAATGGAAAAAATGATGCAGAAATATGTAGAAGAGATAGCGAAGTTGAGAGTAGAGATAAAAGAGGAGAGATAGACATGGAAGGAAGAAAGAAGAATGGGAGAAAGAAAGAAAACAACTAGAAAGAACCTTGGAGCAGAAAGAGGAAAGGAAGGAAAGGGAAAGCAGGAAAAGAAATATAACGATAAGAGGAGCGAAATGGGGGGAGGAAGAAACAATGAAGGAGGTAAAAGATTTTATAAAGGAAAATTTAAAGGCGAACGTAGGAATAGAAGCGGCATAGAAGATAGGAGATAAGAGAGGGGGAGAAATAGTGGTGGCAAAGCTGATGGACTGGAAAGAGAAAAAAGAGGTAATGACAAAAAAGAGGAATCTAAAAACCGGAGTTTACATAGAGGATGATCTGACGAAAAAGGAAAGGGAAATACAAAGCAAACTAAGACAGATTGTAAGAGAGAAAAGGAAAGAGGGAAAAAAGGCGATAGCTAAATATATGAAAATATGTGTGGAACAAAAATGGTATAAATGGAATGAATGGGAGGAATGCCTGGAAGGAGAAGAAAGGGCGAGGGAGAACTGAGATGAGGCAGGGTGTTGTGTGCTGTTTTGGAATGTGAGAGGATTGGATAAAAAAGAGAGACTTCTGAGAATTTATAGAGAAATTTGACTATGTAGGACTATCTGAAACGTGGGTGGAAGAAAGGGCGTGGTGGAAGAAAAGACTATCGAAAAGTTACACATGGGAATGCCAGTACGCACAGAGAGACAAGATAAAAGGAAAAGCGAGTGGAAGGATTATAATCGGAGAGAGGAAATAGAGGAGAAAAAGAATGAAGTGAAACGAATAAGCGGAGCAATGGGGAAGAGGATAGACACACGGCTGATTTGATCACTGGGAACAGACACATGGCTGATTTGGACAGTTTATTGTAAGGGAAAAATAAAAGAAATGATGGAACAAATAAATTTGGAACAGGAGGAAAAGGGAAGAATCAAAATGATGATAGGAAGGGACTTCATGCAAGGATGGGAGAGAAGGGTGGAATGTACGACGGTAAAGAGGAAAGAAGGGTATCAAGAGACAAGAGGAGCAATAGAGAGAGGAAACAGCTGATAAGGGCAGTAGAGGAGAATGGATGGTACATACTTAACGGAAACGAAAGGATATGAAAAAAGGAGAGTACACATTCGTGGGCAGCACGGGGTACACGGTAATCGATTACACGATAGTAAACATGGAAGGAATAGACAAAATAGAGGAGTTCAGAGTTTTAGAAAGAATAGAATCAGATCATATGCCACTATATAGCAAATTAGGATACAAGATAAAAAAACGGAAAGAGAAGGAGGGAGAAGGAAAGAAGGTGAAAGAAAGAATAAAATGGAATGAGGAAAGCACAAGAAAATACGAGGAGATAACAAGCAGGAAGAAATATAAACAAGAATCTGTGGAAGGAAGATGGAGAGAAATAAAAGAGGCAGTCGAAGGAGTAACAAAAGAGAAATGAAGAAAGAGAAACAGAGGTACAGGATATAAAAGATGGTGGGATAGAGAATGCAGCAAGAAGAAGAGGAGAGTAAAAAGGCTACTTAAGAAATGGAAGGAGGGTAAAGGGGTTAAAGAAATATATATGAAAGAGAGAGCGGGGTTCAGAGGAATGCGCGAAAGAAAACAAAGAGAGAAGGCAGAAAAATAATTAGAAGAAATCAAGAGAGCGAAAAGGAAATCTGGGACTACATCAACAGAGGAAGAAAGGAAAGAACCGTCAACCAGCGAAAAAATTAAAATCGAAGAATGGAGAAGGCATTTTATGGAACTTTTAAATGGATCGGAAAGTAAAAAGGAAAGGAAAGAGATAAGAGAAGACAGGGAGGGAGAGAAGGAGACATAAGGTGAGCAAGGACTCAGGACAGAAGAGATAGAAAAGTAAGTGATGAAACTGAAGAAAGGAAAAGCAGCAGGGGAAGATAATATACCGAGCGAAGCATGGAGATACATGAAAGGGGAGACGGAGCAAAAAATGATGGAGCTACTCAAAAAGATCTGGGAAGGAGGAGGGATGTCGGAGGAATGGAGAGTAGGAATAATTTCATCCATATATAAAAAAGGGGACCGGGAAGTGGTAGAAAACTATAGAGGTGTGACATTGCTCAGCACAGCATATAAAATATATGCAATGACACTAAATGATAGAATAAAGAAAGAGATCGAAACAAAAAAGATAATACCAGATACCCAAGCACGTTTCAGAAAGGGAAGGGGAACGATAGATAATATATATATATATTACAGCACGTGGCAGAGAAAGCAATAGAGAAGAAGAAAAGAAAGCTGTACACATTTTTCATAGATCTAAGGNGCGGCCTTCGACAAAATAGTCAGGAAAAAGCTATTGGAAACAATGGAAAAGGCAGGTATTAGTAAAGGCTTAGTGAATAGGACAAGAGAAATATACACGGAGTAAGATCAAGGTGGTTGAAGAGATGTCAAGGGAATTCTGGACAGAAGAAGGATTTTCATAGCGGACATAGAAGAAGAGTTTAAAAAGGGACAAGAAGGAGGGGGGGGGGGATAGGGAAAGAAAAGTTTTGGACACTTTCTTACGCAGACGACATAGTCCTACTGGCAAACGAAGAAAAAGAGATGAAGGAAATGATGAGAAGGCTGGAGAAATATCTAGACAGGAAAAAACTGGTACTAAATGAGAGCAAGTCCAAGATGATGGTATTTGGGAAAGGAGGGGGAAGGAAAAAGAAAGAGACATGGAATTGGAAAGTTAAGACAATAGAACAGGTTACTGAATTCACATATCTGGGGTACCGACTTAAGAGTAACGGCAAGTACAATGAACACATAAAATATGTGGCAAAGAAAGCGAATGTAGTAATGAGACATGCATGAGGAATAGGAGAGAGAATGTTTAGAGACGATTATGGGAGGAGAATGAAGATATTCGACAGTCTAGTCGTGGGAATCTTGGCCTATGGAGCAGAAGTATGGGGATGGACGGAAAAAGCGGAATTAGAGAGAATACAAATAAAATATATTAAATGGACGCTTGGGCTGGACAGCAGGACACCAGACTGTATAATCACGGAGGAAACGAAAAGGGAGAAACTGAAGATTAGATTGGCAAAAAGAGCGGTAGAGTGAAGGAAGGAAGGAAAGAAAGAGAAAGAGAGGCAGGAATAGTAAAAGAATGCATAAAAGAAATGAAAGCAGGAAAAGGGAACTAAGAAAGAATAAGGAAAAGGCAAGATCACCTCAAAACGTGTGGTTTTAGCCAAATAGGAATAGAACAATTGTGGAGAGAAGGGAAATCAGTGGGGAAAATACTAAGGAAAAGAGAAGCAGAAATACAAAGACAAAGACAGTGGAATAGAATTCAGAAGACGAGATACAATTGGAAGTATAAGTATCTGGTAACAAGAGAATTACCAAAATACCTGAAGGAGAGAAGGAAAAATGGAGAGTAGAAGAAGGTAATAGCCAGGGCAAGATGCGGTACCCTAGAAAATGGAAGTAAATTTTGGACGAGCGAAGAAGAACGGAAATGTCAATTGTGCGAGGATGGGAAGGGAACATTAGAGCATTGGAGAGACTGTAGAAAGATGGAGACAACATATGCAAATCTGGAAGAGATACCGAGTGAAGAAGGTGGGAAAGAAGCGGTAAAATGGCGTAGGCGAATAGAAAGAAGAAAGAAAGATAAAGAGAAACAAGGAGAAGAGAAAGAAGAGATAAGGTAGGTCTAAAAAGAAGAGAGCAACAAAATAAACATGAAATAAAATGAAAGAATTGGGTTAAGATACTTAAGTAGACAAAAGAATAGCATAGTTAAAATAAATATAAGTATAGGATAAAGCAAAATAGGATACAAAATATTATGCAAATATTATAACATGTAAAAGCAAGGATAAATGCAATGCGAAATGTGCAGTGTAAAGACCAAAGTCAATGTCAAGGCCAAAGAGGCTGAAATAAAAAATATATACATATACATACAAATTGCAAAGAAATTAAGAAGTTGATGTGTTACCCAAAATTTTTTACGAAACCCTCAAGAATATGGGAAAAAGAAGTCGAAAGGAAGACCTACAGCCCTTTCTTCAAGAGAAAAAAGATTAATTTTAAGAAAAGCATCAAATTTTGGATTTACGCCTAGACAAATTGTAATGGAATGTGGTGTGGATGTATCCATTAAAACAGTAAAGAGAGTGATACAAAGAGCAACACATTTAAAACAAGTGAAAGTTGTTACAAAACCACCATTAACATAAGACTGCTCGGTTAAGTTTTGCTACAGAACGTATTCACTGGAAAAAACAGTGGAAACGAATTATGTTCCCAGATGAAAAAAAGCTGAATTTGGATAGTTCAGATGGATACAAACACTATTTCCATGATTTAAGAAAAGAGCAACGGTTTTTAAGTCGCCGACATTGCGGTGGCGGTACAGTAATGGTATAGGCAGGTATCGGCTATAGAGGAAAAACAGAAATAAAATTTATTCAAGGCCGTATGAATGCTGGCTACTTAAGTTTAATTAAGGATCAAATACAGACATATGCTGGAAGAAAATATTTATTTCAGCAGGATAATGCAGCTGTACCGCTCGCATAGTCAAAGATTACTTTCAAGCGGAAAATATAAAGATTTTTAATTAGCCAGCAAGATCTCCCGACCTGAATATTATTGAGAATGTTTGGGGAAGACTAAGCAGAATATTTTATGAAGGTGGGAAGCAGTACAACACAGTGCCCGAATTAAAATCAGCTAGAAGCTTGGGAAAGCTTAGATCAAAATTATATAAAAGACCTCTATAAAAGTTTACAAAGAAAAATCATTGAAGTGGTGCAACGTAAAGGACAGTCCACACATTATTAAAACTTGAAAAACTATGCAATTTTACTTAACTTTCATATTTTTATTATTTTATATTAAAAGTGCCTTATTTTGTCTACACTAAATTTCATTTTTTTTTTTTTTTGTATAAATAACGAATAGATTGAAGGATTTATTTAATTTTTTTATATATTATGTCAGAGTTAGTATTTTGGCATAATATATAAAATTTGGAAGCCTTAGCCACATATTACGCCAGCATAGACAACTCACAACGCCAGTTCCCCGTACGACGAAGAAATCAATCATCCCTCCCCAGTCCACAATCTCAACGAGGGAAACAGACCTCCCGTTCCCGAACCACATTAACGTAACTCCGCATCTGATCCATAAAATAATCATGAAGCTTCCAAACAACAAAACACCAGGGCCAGACAAAATTACTAACCTAGTGGAGGGTATGAAATGTTGATGATAATTAAGGAAATTTAAGGATGTATGTGAGAATGTAGGAACGGATGTAGGATATGAGTAAGGTAAGGAAAGGTTGTGCGTTTCGTCTCAGAGTCATCAGTGGGGCTGATGACAGCGATCCTTTACCTCAGACGCTTGTTGTTATAACTACTCGGTGTTATAACTGGACGGTCATCGATCCTAGCGGTGTTCCGTACTCTGTTTGCTTAATATCGAAGATCGCTAGACTTCGACGCTAGGCGCACAGCCACTTGCGGCTTGTACGAGTCGGTATTCGAGACTCGTACTCGAGGGACTATAGGCCGCTACACCAGAATTAAAAAATCTTCCCAAAAAAGGGAGATCTCTTCGTACAAATCTATTACATCATCAAGCCATGCATCCAGCTATCATACTTCCTTACGTTCTGGAAAATAGCTAAAATACATCCTGTCTCAAAACCTGGTAAACCCAACACTGATACCCACAGCTATAGACGCATCAGCCTGCTTAACATCCTTAGCAAAATCTTTGAGAAAATCATTCACTTCCACCTCCTCACCTCAATATCCATAGCATAATCATACCTCAACAATTCGACTTCCGGGAAAAACACTCGTACATTCACCAATTACAAAAGGTTACCGAATTCGTCATAATAGAACACAACAAAAACAGGATCATACAACTGATCTTGCTTGACTTGGAGAAAGCCTTCGACACAGTCTGGCATGAAGCTCTACTGTGCAAACTACGTAAGATCCAAACACCCACCTCATCAACCTGGTTAAAAGCTACTTGCAAAATAGGAAAATGTACGTCGCAGTCAAGGGTTCCAGATCCACGATCCAAATCAATGCAGGGGTTCCAGGGATCAATACTTGCACCCACCCTGTTCAGCATATATGTACATTAATGACATACCCACCATTTAACTCGACATCTACGCCGATGACACCGTCATATATGCCTTCTTTTGGAGCCCAACCCAGGTGACCAAATATCTTCAAGCCTACGTAAACCTGATTGTCGAATACGTGCAGAAATGGAAGCTCAAAATCAATTCCAAGAGAACACAGGCAATAACTTACACTCGCAAACATCTCCAATAGAGTGAGAAAGTCAAGGTTGACAGTTATGACATACCATAGACTAAAACCATAAAATACCTAGGCATCACACTAGACAGTAAGCTAACTGGGCTAGGGCGATAGAAAAAAGCTCTCTTATCCAGCTCCTTCCAGACTTTACTCCCTCATAGCTAAAAACCAATTAAAATCCTACTATACCTTATGTATATACAATCAATCTGAGCTTCAGCCGCTAAATCTTACACAAAGTGCAGATTATACCAAATTCCTCCGAATAATACTAAACAAACAACGAGATACACCCGTGGCATTTCTCCACCAACAGGCAAACATCCCTACGATCGGCCAATTCATACAATCTAACCCATTTTTTTTTTTTTTTTTTTAACGTGGAGGAAATCTTCATGAAGACATTCACACATCCCTACGATGGGATGTGCGAATAGTGCTGGATTTTTACCAGCTAAAACCTCCACGATGGCCTTCCTCGTCTCTAAAACTTTCAACTTCCGCAGTAATCACCGGAAGTGAAAAGGCTTAATAATTTAGGTTCTATATTAATGATTATATAATTATAATGTCTATTTAATGTTTAATTAATATTTATGTTCTATTTAAGATCTATTTACCCTTCCTTGCAAGACACCGGCCATGCGCATCTTGCATCTTCCCTAGTTTCAAGCCAGGTTACCTCCCATCAATAACCCTCGAAACTCTTCACCCGTCTCTAATTGTTTATTTAAAACTATTTTTACATACACGTTTTATTTTTCTCTTTTCTTTTCTTGGTGTTATTCACTTCAAAGTTCTATATATTATCTTATTTTATTACGCTTGTTTTAGCCATTCGGAGTTTTTTGGCTTTTTTCCTCTTCCTTTTTCTTAATTGTCTCGTCCTGTCCGTGATTTCGTTCTGTCTGTCTTTATCTTCTTTTATTTTCATTACTTCTTCACTGTATCGTTGAATAGCTTTGCACCTATCCTTTCCGTCACATAACGCTTTAATGATCAAGTAGTGTGTTAAAATTCCTCCCATAGTTTTAATCAAAGTCTCTCTCTGTGTCATAAAGGCCGGACACACGAACATCTTCATAGAGATCACATTCCTGGCACACACTGTCCTGTACGGCTCCTATTTTCTTTAAATACACAGAAAAACATCCGTGTCCTGTTATTAGTTGAGTGACCCAGTAAGTAAGATTAACTGGGCCAGAGGAATGCCGCCTATCCCAATTTCGCAGTATCGCGTCCAGAAACGGTCTTCTATTCTTTTCTATCAACTCATTCTTCCATAAACCTATAGCTTTCATTGTTTCGCTTGCTCGAATATATGCCTTTTTACGGTCAGATGGTAGGATGTCAGCTTTTTTGATCTTCTGAATTTTGTGATAGATACGTTCCCAGGCCATAGCTACCTATTTATAAGGTAATGTGCCCGCGTGAGCAAAGAGTAAATCCGTAGGTGAAGTCCTATACGCTCGTGCCACCCTCAGAGCAATGAAACGCTGCATAGTTATCAATACTTCCTTTCCTTTTTTATTAATGTTTTTTGCTGTTAGTACGTTGGCATATAGCTTCCTAGTTTTATATCCTGGACCATACAGATTGGGCAGGATTCTACCTAAATAGGAAGCATTCCTTAGGATCTTGGATAAAAGGTGATCCATATGAGGTTTAAAGTTTAATCTACTGTCTAGGGTAATTTATAGTATTTCCAACTCTAATTCTGTCGTTACCTACGTACAACCAAGAACTTGGTGGGCT